GAGCGAAAGATTCATTCGATTTTGCTCATCCTATCAATCGAAGTATCGTGAAGCCAGCTGCGATATTGGAGACTTATCTGTTCTCTCTCTCTCTCTCTCTCTCTCTCTCTCTCTAACAAACACACACACACACCTGCGCAAGGATGACACACACCTGCGACGAGGAGGAGAGATGGAGGACGATACAGAGAAGATTAGCACGACCTCTGCGCAAGGATGATACGCACAAATCGAGAAAAGGTAAAAAAAAATAAAAAAAATTGACAGATTTGACACCTGTGGGAGAGGAGGAGGAGGAGGAGGAGGACGAGGACGACGACGACGACGAGAACGGAGGACGAGGAGGAGAGATGGAGGACGAGGAAGGGGAGGAGGAGTAGGACGAGCGGGAGGAGAGGAGGAGGAGGAGGAGGAGGAGGAGGCAGTGAGGATGATGAAGGGGAGGTCGAAGTTGGTGATACTCACCGGGCGATGGCGGCAGCTCCTCCCTCACAGGGCAGCAGGGCAGCACGGGGCGGCACTTCGCAGCACTTCGCAACGGCACTCCGCGCAGGCCACACACCCACCCAAGAGGCCAGGCAAGCCCACACAGAGTACAACTGGAAACAGGTTTCGACAATTCGAAACCTTGCGCTCCGGCCTTGAGCGCGGCCTCAAAAAAAATTTTTTTGGCCTTGGCAACAATTTTGGCGGGGGGCCTCCGATGTGTCGTTTCGACCCCTGCCATTTTTTTTTTTCGGGGGGGGGGGGGCGGTCGGGCCGTTCCCCGCACACCTCGTGCGCCGCGCGGGAACGGTCGGGCCCATGCACCGGACGTAGGGAAACTCGCGCGCGAGGTGCGCTTGCAAGTACGGTTTAAACTTGCTTAAACTTTATTCATTGTTATTTGTGCAAATTTAAATATTCTTTAATTAAAGATTTAACTTTTGCGAAATTAATTATTGCAATTTTAAATATTCTTTAATTAAAGATTAAATCTTTTGCCAAAATTAAACTCTATTAATTTATATTTTCCGGTTAACTTTTATTTAATTTCTCAAAATTCGAAATTTCATCGGGGGCGTGGAATTTTTTTTTTCTTTGATTAGTGTCAGACTTCGAGGTCAGGGGAGAAAGGGACTGAAAGGGACTGTTTGTGCATTGCTTGCCTCTCTGCCCCTCCTCCCCACCCTACATTCTCTCTCCTCCTCTCGGTACCACTTGCCTCTCTGCCCCTCCTCCCCACCCTACATTCTCTCTCCTCCTCTCGGTACCACGGATGTCAGTCTCCGGCCATGTCAGCATTGTGCCACAAAGGCAGAGTGCCACCTCAGTGTGCCACGACAGCCGAGTGCCACTCAGCAGCGGCCACCTCAGCAGTGCCACATCAGCAGGTGCCACCTCAGCGGTGACACATCAGCAGCAGATGAAGGCCAGAGTACTTGATGCGCCGCAGCCAACAACTGGCCGAGCGCGGATCCGCAGGAGCCAAGCCTCAACAGGGACATAGGACCCCTCAGATTCCGCGCAGGCCACGCACGACCATGGCTGCTACCGCTGCCGACAATGCACCAGCCAGCCCCAAGAGGCCGGTTACCCCTCCTATCCCAGTTCAGCAGGCCGATGAACCACTTCTAGTGTTCCTCCAACGTCTCCAGCAGTATTCAGAGACGACGGCAGCCGAACTGCGCAAGTGGGAAGCGGAGGAAGCCGCCCGCCAGCAGGAAATTCAACGCCAGCCGGCAGAGGCAAAGGCAGAGGCAGCACGTCAGCAGGCCGCAGCAGAAGCAGCAGCAGCCGCACGGTTGCAACAGCAGCAGGTCGAGGCTAGTCAACACCAAGCTCGTTACCAAGCCACGATGGACCTTGCACGCGACGAAGCCATGTATGGCAGGCTGCTTCGACGACAGCATTTCCAAGAAACCGAAGAACGACAAGAGATGACCGAGGAAGAAGGTGACAAAGAAGGTATAGCAGTACTGATGGAGAATCTGCTGTACACGTGCAATTGGCAGCAATGTGAACTGCTGGCCATGCGGCAGGTCTTCATCCGCCATGAAACAACATTCAAGGCAATGGACAAGAAGATCGAGACCCTGCAGGCCGAGATCAGCACACTACACGCCGCCAACAGCCAGCAGCAGACACTTGACGACCAGTGCAGACAGATGTCATCATGGGGTTGGCACAACTATCAGCAGCTGCGTCAATGGGCAGTGCAGTGGTAGACTGCAGCCCAGCTTTGGCCGCGCAGCCCAAGCAACTCAAGGAGTGGATCAACCACTTAGTCGCATCCCTCGGCGACATCAGCAAGTTCGCTGGAGCATCGACAGTCAGCAATCAGCTGCAAACGCTCAGCGACCGCGTTGACCAACGACCGGCCGCTGCCGCCAAGGAATGGAAGATGCCGAACTTCAAGATCGAGAAGTTCCATGACTATCACAAGACTGATCCGCTGCAATGGTGGATGGCTTTCAACGCGGAGGCGGACGTACATCACACACCCGCACATCGGCGGCTTGACGCACTCTACCTCCAACTCATCGGAGGGGCGCAGGCTTTCATGACACACATGGCCGTCACGTTGGAATGCACCATCGCCAACCTCCACACTAAGATTACGTGGGAGGAATTCGAGAAGAAATGGAAGACCCGGTTCATGGTCAACAATGACAAACGGCACGCCATGAACAAGATCTCCCGCATCTACCAAGGCCAACAAACGTCACGGGAATGGCTGACGGAGTGGCAACGACTCGTCGCCACCCCGGAGTTGAACTTACCGTTCGACACAATCCGCGCCGAATTTTTTGCTCAGTCGTGCGACGCCTTGACAGCAGCGCTGGGTACTGAATTCCAGTACGAGACCTTTGATGATCTGATCTCAAAGGCAAGAGAGCTCATACAAGGTAACCGAAGGGCGGCTAACAAGATCCGCCAACAGGCCGGTTACGTGGAGAAAGGCAAGGGTCAACGGACGCCGCAAGTAGCAGCAGTCCAGCAAGGAACAAGTGAGGACCCCGCAGCCGCGTCTACATCAAGTGACGGAGATGTGGCGGCAGCGTTACCACCACAACGCACAAGACCCCGAGGGGGAAAACAGAAGGCGAAACCAGCGTCAGCGGATGGAGCACGACAGTCACCATGAACAAAGTTCGGCATTACCAAAGACGTGTTCAAGTTGCGACAGAAATGGTCATGCTGTTTGTGGTGCGACAGCACCAAACACATCACCAACGCATGCCTCGACAAGGACAAGGAGAATGTCAAACGTACAGGCTCGAGAAACTGAGAACCGCGGGAAGTGCAGCGACACCACTTCCCAATCCGCCGGAGTCGGCTGCCTTGCTAGCAGCCTCTCTCACATCCGGGGATGACGCAGTAGTTGAGGACTTCCAATGGCTGCCTCTTCCCTCCACCGGTTCTTTGCCAACACCGCATTGCAATGCCTTGATGGCACATCTGCGCGAATACTTGCACGCTGCAGTACCACCTCCGTCGACGGACGACGGAGTAGCGGTTAACGCAACGGTACGTCAACATCGACGCCACTCCTCTACATCCGCATTCAGATCGGAAAGGCGCCCTGCAGTGCCTTGATCGATTGTGGAGCGACTCACAACTACATCAGCCAAGACTTCATGGCACGCGCCGGGCTAGGCCCGCGCGTTCGAAGAAAAAGTCAGCCTACACACGTCACGTTGGCCGATGGTCACACGCAAAAGTCAATCGACCGATGCGTTGACTCGGTGTCCGTGTACTTTGCCCCGCTAGCATGCGAGGCCGTGTCTTTCGACATATTAGACACCAAGTTCGATATGATCCTAGGCATGTCGTGGCTGCAAAGCGAAGACCCGGTGAACTTCCATCGACGCACCGTTCACATTCGTGATCGGCGTGGCGAACTAGTCCCGTGTACGGTGCCGCTTCCTCATCCTTCGATAGGTTGTCACGTGGTATCCGCGGCGAGCATTCGCCAATCCATCTGGTTGAACGACATCGAGGAGATAGGCGTATGTTTTCTTCACGCCCTCCCACCCGGTGATCAGCCCAAGACGGATACGTCGGACCCACGCATCATTGAGTTGTTGGACAGCTATGAGGATGTCTTCCAAGCTCCCACCGGAGTCATACCGGATCCGCCCATACGCCACGGGATCACTCAAGTGCTTCGGGCACAACTAGACGACCTCTTGGCCAAGGGCTGGATTCGCCCTAGCTGTTCGCCATACGGTGCTCCCGTTCTCCTCGTCCGGAAGAAGAACAAGGACCTTCGTTTGTGCATCGGCTATCGAAAACTTAACGCGCAAACGATCAAGAACGTCGGCCCTCTCCCTCGGATCGATGATCTTCTCGAGCGACTAGGCGGCGCAAAGTACTTCTTGAAGCTTGACCTCAAGTCCGGATACCACCAGATCGAGATCCAACCAAGAGATCGGTACAAAACCGCATTCAAGACGCGGTCTGGGCACTTTGAGCGGATCGTCATGCCTTTCGGTCTCACCAATGCCCCGGCTGCTTTCCAAGCGGCTATGACGCCAGAATTCTGCGACTTGCTCGACCGCACCGTACTCATTTACCTTGATGATACCTTGGTTTATAGTCTGACGCTGGACGAGCACCTCGAGCACCTTATTGGAGCGGCTCCGTATCGCCAAGTACAAGGCAAACCGCGACAAGTGCGAGTTTGCCCAGCAAGAGCTGGAGTACTTAGGCCATTACGTTACGCCGCAAGGCATTCGTCCGCTCGCAGACAAGGTACAAGCCATTCAAGATTGGCCGGACCTCGAGTGTACTACCGACGTCCCCTCCTTTCTCGGCTTGGCATCATACTACATGCGCTTCGTAAAAGGATTCCAACGCATCGCTGCACCATTGTCGCGACTTCAGTCCCCCTTGGTGCCCTTCGAGTTCAGCGACGAAGCCCGGCACGCGTTTCACACGCTGAAGACGGCTTTGCTTCAAGCTATCGTCTTAAGCATCTATGACCCGACCTTGCCCACCAAAGTGACTACGGACGCTTCCGATTATGGCATTGGCGCGGTTTTGGAACAGCATGACGGCACATATTGGCATCCGGTTGAGTACTTCAGCCAAAAGGTGTCGCCCATCAACACTCTTGATGATGCGAGGAAGGAGGAGCTGCTAGCTTTTGTCACCGTACTTGAGCGTTGGCGTCACTTTCTCCTCGGGTGTCGGCGATTCACATGGGCAACGGACAACAATCGGTTGACGTATTACAAGACGCAAGACACGGTGAGCAGCACGATCGGCCGATGGATGTACTTCATTGACCAGTTCGACTTCACCTCCAAGCACATTCCGGGCTCCTCGAACAAGGCAGCGGATGCTCTCTCGCGAAGACCTGATCTTTGCGCCTTGGTGCACTCGACATTCGGCCTCGACGAGAACCGGCAACAACATTTCATAAACGGCTACAAGTCGGATCCGGGATTCTCCACACTCTATGCGGACTTATCATCGGATCACCCGCCGGCAAGCAACTATCGCATTGTCGACGGCTACTTGCTTCTTCATACACGAGGCAAGGACTAATTGTGTGTTCCCGAAGACCGCATCTTGCGCACTCGCCTCCTTGGCGAATACCACGATTCGCGGCTGGCGAGACACCTTGGCGTCGCACGTACACTAGCTCGACTCCGCCAGCGATTTCACTGGCCGGATATCATCAGCAACGTCAACCGGTACACTCAGTCATGTGCGTTTGCCACCGGAACAAAGGGCGCCATCAGCTCCCGTACGGCGAACTGAAACCATTGCCGATTCCTCGGGAACCGGGTCTCTCCATTGCTATGGATGTGACCGGTCCTTTCCCTCGCGATCGCCTTGGCCATGATGGTATTCTCACGGTCGTCGACCGTTTGAGCAAGTACGCTCGATTTCTTCCATGCAAGTATCATGAGCCGGCTCCCGAGCTTGCACGACTTTTGCATACCAGCTGGTTTTGCAGCCACGACATTCCGGAAGACATCGTCAGTGACCGCGACACTCATTTCATGTCGGCCTTTTGGACGACACTCGTGGTGGAATCCGGCACCAGCATGAAACCGAGTTCCGCACGGCATCCTCAAACGGATGGGCAAACGGAACGTGTGCATCCAGACTGCGCAGATGATGCTCCGCACACTCATCCGCCCGGATCAGGAGGACTGAGTTCACCACCTCCCCGACATCGAGTTCGCCTACAACACTTCGGTGCACCTGGCGATTGGCGTGACTCCATTCGAGTTGCACCATGGTGGGCGGAAAGGACGTATCTTCACAGACATTTTGCGTGACGCCGCTTGCTCCCCCGCTTCTACACGGAAGTACAGGGAACTGCTCGCCAAAGCCCGCGCAAACATGCAAGAGGCTCAGGTCTGTATGCAGCAGCAAGCGAACCGGTGTCGCACCCCATGTCCAATTCGCACTGGCGACCTAGTTCGGGTCACCTCCGAGGAATCCGTGCTTGAGTAGCACATCTCGCGGAACCTCCTCCCTAACTGGTTTGGACCATGGATGGTCACTTCAGCAGCTGGCGACGACCCCGCGGGTCCATCTTTCATCATTGAGATTCGCCCGCATTTGACGGTCCACCCGATATTTCACGCTTCAAAGCTGGAGGTCTACACTCCAGCCTCCGCAGCGGACTTCCCGGGCAGACGGTCACAGGACCCTCCTTCAATGGATGGTCATCAGGAGGTCGATCGTGTTCTCACGCATCGCAAACATGGCAACAAGCCTATGCAGTACAAAGTTACATTTAAGCAATGCGATCCGAACGACACACGCTGAATTTCAAGAGCTGACCTGAAGGCGACATCACCCCTCATCTTCGCACATTACGAAAAACAGCGACTTGCTAAGGAAGCTGCTCAACCTGCCCGCCCTGTACGGACATCGGACATACAACTTCGCCCTCGCAGTTAGCTCGGTCTTCAAGGGGGGGAGTGTGTGGCATTCTGAGCCACACGGGCCCCAGTTAGGGCCCGGTTCCAGACAGGTAGGGTAGGCCTAAGGGACGACGGTTCAGATGAGGCTCAGATGGGCCGGGACCGTGGCGGTTCAGACAGGCCTAGGGTAGAGGCCCAGGCCAAACGGCCACAAGGCCGGTACTGGTCCAGCATAGGACCTACCGGCGGCGTTTCAGAGGCTGCCACATTTAGGCGCCAAGTCCAGTTTGAATCTGGACCAATTTCGCACCTTCGGTGATATAGATACATCAGAATCGCGATTGATTCAATCCCCTGCTCCATGTATTATATCTAAACGTTCAGTATACGACCCCCATCGGTCAGTTTGGACCTCCACTTAGTTTTACCCAAGCTTCATCCTGGCCATGGTTAGATCACCATCGATTCAGATCAACGGTCCAAGCCGGTAGGTACCAGCAGGTAGGAGGCCGGCCCCCTCGCAGTTAGCTCGGTATTCAAGGGGGGGAGAGTGTGGCATTCTGAGCCACACGGGCCCCAATCAGGGCCCGGTTCCAGACAGGCAGGGTAGGCCTAAGGGACGACGGTTCAGATGAGGCTCAGATGGGCCTGGACCGTGGCGGTTCAGACAGGCCTAGGGTAGAGGCCCAGGCCATACGGCCACAAGGCCGATACCGGTCCAGCATAGGACCTACCGGCGGCGTTTCAGAGGCTGCCACGTTTTGGCGCCGAGTCCAGTTTGAATCTGGACCAATTTCGCACCTTCGGTGATATAGATACATCATAATCCCGATTGATTGAATCTCCTGCTCCAAGTATTATATCTAGACGTTCAGTATACGAGCCCCATCGGTCGGTTTGGACCTCCACTTAGTTTTACCCAAGCTTCATCCTGGCCATGGTTACATCACCGTCGGTTCAGATCAACGGTCCAGGCCGGTAGGTACCAGCAGGTAGGAGGCCGGCCCGACACTACAAAAGGCTGGGTACCAGCCTCCGTAGGTTAGAGTTAGAATGGACGAGAGTTGGCCTTCGGGATTAGCGCAGCTTGGCAGCGTTAAGGGGATTAGCGCAGCGCAGCAGCATTAGTGAGAGCAGCCAGGAGACGACGAGCGCAGCAGCGGGAGGTACAGTGCAGCGGCCCTGCCGCGCCATAGCTACCAGTCAGGTACCGGGAGGAAGGCTCTGCCTTCTCTCCCTCTATTCCTCCACCCCCAACTCTCTCTCTCTCTCTCCCCCCTCCTACCTTCTCAGCCTCAGTCTACTTTTGGGTTTCTCCTACGGGACTACTGCAATATGAAGGATGGTTACGAATTCTGATAACATTGGGGAACAACGACATTGGGACTACGAGTAGAGGACTACTTGGGGATCTGATTTCATCTTCCTTCTTAAGATGTACTTGACATCGTGGGATCGATATCTGAGATATTGTGAGACTTGGCATTCACGACATTTCAGATTTTCGTCACTTCTGACATTTCAAGATACTATCTTTGGAAACATTGAGTTGACGTCATCTTCCCTCTCCTCCTCCTTTCGTCTCTCTCCTCTCTCCCTTCGTCCGTGGATAATTTCAGTCCCTGGCCTTTCGTCTATGTCTGAGGCCAAGGCATTCACACCCCTGATGAATGTTTGAGAGTGTACGATTGCAGTCCGAGTCAGTCCAAGGTATCTCAAGTCTTTCGCTTGCATTTGTATTAACTCTGTATTATCTGGTCGGTTCTGGGAATCTGCGCCATACTGATGACAATGTTTCACGAGTATGCAACAGCAGGCCAGCATTAGCGCAGCAGCGCTTCCACAGCATGCAGCCAGTGCCCGAATGCCGAATGCGTGTGCAGGCCTGTGAGCGCTGGCCAGTGTATAGCGCAGTAGCACTTGCGCAGCATGCACCAGTGGCCGAATGCCGAATGTGTGGGGAGGCACTTTATATGGAAATTGCCTGCCTGCTGCGTGAAGTCTGGCTGCGCTGGGCCCCTGCCCAGAAGCTTCCGATAGGCCGGGAGAGGCTGTGCCCCAGTCCAAACGAATCAGGCTCCGGGCCTCTGGTAATTGCCCTTGTCCAACTGCCCTCGGCCTGTGTTCGGTGCATGTTGAGTATGCTCAGTTACATATGAAAAAGGTAGCCTGGGCCTGGGCGCTCTCAACCAACTGGCGCTGCACAACTGCCTGAATTTACCCAATTGCGCGGTGACCCCAAAAATAGGCTTGTAGGCCCTGGGTCGAGCCTGCCTTCACTTAGGGCGGCCGACTGTATAGAAAATAAGGCCCACTACGGCAGATCGAGGTCTTGAGCCTCGCATTCCCTCCTCCATACTTCGACAGTCCTCTGAGAAGTTTGATTACTCAATTTGGAGCTTTCCTTTCTGCAGGGACTTCTCATAATGCGCGACAACCTGTGGAGTCTCGAGTAAATCATCTGTCCTCCTTAGGATCAGTGTGATGTCTGAACCGTACACGGTACTGCAGCTTTGGCTTAGGAGGACGTCCGTTACGGACTCCGCCAGGGCTCGATCCCTGGTCTATCTTTTTACTGTTTCGGTTGCATCCCGTTTTCGGCTTGGCACCCTTTTTCCAAACCCCTCCTTTGGTACCGTAGGATTTTGGACAACTGGCACCATGTTGCAATTCGGGCGCCACTTTCAAATACCGCATTTTTCAGTTCTGCCCCCGGGGCCTTTGCAGAAATGCCCCTGGTACCGTACGTGTCACCGGTACTTATATCGGCTCCCCGTATGGTACAGGGACCGGTCTCATACCAGTTTTCTGCTGCTGTACTCATACTTAGTGTGACTTGCTGTTTCGGCATTCGGAATCCAAGACTTCGACTTTGTGCCTTGCCACTGTGTCTGCATCCGACCCTCAGTTCGAGTCAGTCGTGCCGAGTGAGTGTGTGTGTGTGTGTGTGCTCTCACTCTCTCCCTCTCTCTCTCCTCTCCCTCGGCTCACCCTCAGCCTCACGCCCGTCACACTGGTATCGGAGCGGTTCGAACCCGCCCGACCCACCCTGCTTCGTCGCCATCACCTGGCCATCATCAGTATCATCATCGTGATCGTCATCGTAGTCCCACGTCATCGTCGTGATCGTCGCCGTCATGCCACATCATCACCGTCGTCGTCGTGCCACATCATCATCGTCACCATCGCGATCGTCGTCGTCATGCCACATCACCATCGTCGTGTCGGTCGTCCCCGTCGCCACGCCGTGCCATCCTCGTCATCGTCGTTGCTACCCCGCGCAGATAAGTAATCGACGACAATTTTCTTTTTTTATTTTTCTATTCTTTTCTTCTTTTTCGATTCTTCTTCTTCTTCTTCCCCTTTTCATCTTGGTCTTCTTCTCGACTTTTCTTCTTCTTCCCCTTTTCATCTTGGTCTTCTTCTTTTCATCATCTTCTTCTTCTTCCTCCTCTTCTTCTTCTTTTTTTTTATCTTTTTCTTCTTCTTTTTGTTCTTATCTTCTTTTTCGCGACTCCGATCTCGCTCCCGCGCAACCTCCCCTCCCCGACTCTCGATCTTTTCCCCCTGACACCCGACCTCCCCCCC